ATCTTAATTATACCCAAATATTCTTACTCTTTATTGGGGTTTATGCCATGGCCTCCATCTTGAAATGCCTTCTTTACCATCTCAAAATTCCACATACACTGTGAGGCTAGGCTCAAATGTCATCTCCTTAATATATTCTTTTCTAGATTTTCCAAAAGAAGGTTGCTTTCCTTTCAACGGAAGCTCATGATATTTTATACTGAAACTCTGATTCCCTTCATATGTTAATAGTGATACTGATGATGTACACAGTACCACTGTTTGAATTTCCATTGAAGAAAAGGATCACAAAATGACTTATCTCCTCATATTCAGTTTCTTCTCATACAATAGTGCCTTACACTGATCTGATATGGAGACTTTATGTTTCTGTATTTTAACATAAGTGCCCACTCTTTTCGCAGCATTTCACAATCATACTAAACAGTAAGAAAACCTAAGGCAGAAAACTGCATCCCTCATTTTTAATTAAGATCAATTTCAAGAGTGAAAATGTTGCACAGGATTTACTATTAAAGCTCAAAGGCATTTAGTATTTAAAAAGCCAAATCGCAGAACATTATATACAGTTAAAGTTTCACTGAATCCCTCCTGTATTTGCAAATATTATCAGATTGAACTAAACCAGAGTTTTCATAAAAACTGACATTTTCAAAAAAGCTTTATTTGCATTAATCTTTCTCTTTCTTTTCATAAGATTAAGACTGTAAATGGCAAATGGTTAAATAGGTGCACCAAAATGCTACCTGCAAGGCATTTGGCCCTACACAAATACCAAAATGCCAACTTTGAGGCATCTGGCCTAAAGTATTTATAAATCTGTCTCAGATGTTCTTACTCAAAAAGTCAGAGTTCTTTAGGGAGCTCTTTTATGTTCTTTGTATGAACACTCAACAATATGGAGCTAGAACATTCAATATCACCCAGCAAGAATTCTAAAATTCTCTACAACTAAAAGGGTAAATCTTAGATCATACTTAGTCATTTTATTTAGGCAACCCTGAACTTACACATAGTCAGAAGTCCTTTTGACATTTTTAGTAATTCCAGAAGTAAAATACTTACACCAATAGGTATCACATTTGTAAACTAAAATTCTCATTCTAGAAACCAGACTTTTCACAAAAGTAATAATCAGCAGGAAATCTTGTTTTGTGGACTTCCTCTTCTAAAGGTTTTTATTTTATTAAAACAGATCAAAAACAGCTTTGATGGAAGGAAGGAGACAAACATAACTAAAAGTCACTCTGAAACCCTAAAGGTGTGAGAACAAAAAAGTGTTGAGAGTACCTGGAGGATGGAGGCCAGAGTCTTCTCAGAAACAGTTACTGAATATCCAGAGTAAAACCAATCATGACACTTGCTGTAATGAAAGATACTGGTGGCGACACTGATCAAATTAGCATACAGCTACAAATATAAAATTCCAACTGTGACACAAGTATTTATCAAGGAGTTTGTGCTAGTTAGGAAAGGCTTCCCAGAGGAAATGATGATTGGTTTATCAGGTTCTGATAAGAAAAGAGAAAACACCTGAGTATTTGAAAGCATGGGACTTCAAAATGGGAATCGCTACTTGGTGACAGAAAAACTGAATACCAAATAAGGAGAGAGTGAGGAAACTCAGATATTAGCTACAGTAAAAAGTCACTACTACCTTAGGCTGGAATGACAGAGGGGAAAAAGTGGTATTAGAAGAGGCCAGGGACTGAAGTACCAAACAGAAGTTGGAAGCATTGTGGGCCTGTCCTGGGAGAAACATAGAGCATGGAGGAGAAAGAGCCTCTGCCAGACATGTTGTCCAAAGCAGAGGATAAGAGGAAAACCTCCCTGGCTTCCCCAGTGCTTCACTTCCTATGAGTGTTCACTCTGGTCAAACTTGGCTGAAAGCTGGATACCCCTGAAGGCTTGAAACACAATGGCAGAGGCTAGTCCTCTTAAGGCATGGAGCAGGGAGACCGCCCAAGAACAAACCTGAGGGCAAACAAGCTAACATCTGGCATAAGCAGAGATCTGAAGAATGGGGTGGGTGAAGATATGCGTGGAGGAGTGAGTTGGGGGGAAGGGTACACACATATCAGGATCGTGTAGTGTAAAGAGTGTGTGACCAGGAATGACGGAGTAAAAGACAACCAAACCACACATGGTTTGGTTGAGAATGAGAAGCAAGAAAGAGGGCAGGGAAAACAAATAGGAACCAGACCAGGACGGTTGACTTTGTCACATCAAAGAATTTGTTCTTAGAGGTAAGCCAATCCCAAGAAAACCAAAGGCCGAATGTTTTCTCTGATAGGTGGATGCTAATCCATAATGGGGGGAGGGGGATGAGTGGAGGAATTTTGGATTGGGCAAAGGGAAGGGAGGGGCAGGGAGGGGCACAGGGGTAGGAAAGATGTTGAAATGAGATGGACATCATTACGCTAGATATGTGCATGATTGATTGCACAAATGGTGTGACCCTACATTGCATACAACCAGAAGCAAAAAATTGTGCTCCATTTGTGTACAACAAAGAGTATTCTGCTGGCATGTATAACTGACAAGAACAAATTAAAAAAAGAGAGAGAAGGAAAAAATGCCATTGAGGGACTTAAGTGGGCAATGGACAGACTTAGATCTATATTTCAGAAAATCATTCTGTCTTTTTGCTTACAGGACATTGACTGAACAACACAACATACCAGGAATTATACTAGGGGTAGGACACATAGCATTAAAAATATAGCGTATTTGTTCCCCTGTGAAGTCTACCACCAAGTATGTAGCCTGCAGTATTATCAAAGACCTTTTAAGTATTCTTTTAGCATTAATCACCTGATTATCATCAGGGACATGAGGTTTATATTCATAATTCCATAGACTTAGTTCTCAACTCAGTAAATTTGTTGATTATCTATTATTTATTTTTTGTATTTATTCATTCTCATTAATCACACCCACCTGTCTTTTCAGCTGAAGAACACTAATTCTTTTTCCCATCCATTTACTTTTACTTGGCTAACTCATTTCCTTGTACCCGGGGGTACATTTTAAGTAAAGTATTGAAAGACAAAATCTGGTTGACATGTGCCTTTGGCCTATCTTAGACCTTACCCTTTTTCTTAAATGATGTGATACTGAGGGGTGCATTAGATATCTTGCAATCATAAGGATAAAACTATATGAGTGACGGAAGATAAAGCCAGGCTCTTTTATTACAGCCTTGTAGTGTCTTAAAACTTCAAAGGCACATTAAAATACTGGAGGAATTAAATTTCTTTCATTCTGCATATTCATTACAATTAGTGGTTACATGCACTGAACAAATTTCAACATTTAAAAGGTGAATTTAAACCTGAAGACTATATTTATATAATGATAATGTCCTAAATTCATCACTAATTTAGCATACTTGTTTTCTAAAGAGCTATTTTCTACTCAAATTTGCAATATATCCCTAATTATCAAATCCTATTCTCTGATATTTTGTATTGTCTTGAAAAACTAATTCTCCTCCCTTGAGTTATTAAATTCAGACATAGGTAATTTAATGCCTGAAGACACTTAATGTTTTTGACATTTTCAATGAGATCACTAAATACAGTAACCTAGAATTCTTTCTTGAAAACTGTTAATGACATATACTAAGATCTAAAATAATAATTCAAGATGAAGGTCTTGCTAGCCTTTGTTCTAAAGTATTAAAGCCGTCTAATCTTATATCTTTGCAAATATAATAAAGGAAACTGAAAATGCCAACAGCAATGGCAAGTTACAACCAACTCACAGTCAAAAATGTACTTAGACAAAACAACGTGTTTCAATGTAGTTATGWATTTCAATACAAACTCTAAAACTGGATATTTTATTCCTTGAGGAGCTGATTCAAACAGCGGAGATATAACTTAAAAGAAAGTTGGGCAATGACAGTCACCAAATAAAAAAGGAAAACACCTTTAAACCTCTATTTTGACCATGTCAGTTACCAGGGTCAAAATCTTCAGCAGCTCCCACTATTTTCATCATCTCAAATTCTGTGTGCCAGGCTGCCCTCCCTTGCCAGTTTTACTTCTCCCTACTTTCCTACTCTCATCAAAATTACTTTATTCCTTCCAAGAAAATTTCTATCCCCCCCTCTGATTTTTATGTAAGGATGTTCACAACAGAAAGAAATTGAAAACAAATTAAAAGTAAAAGGAACATACATAAAAATACCTTGCCATTACATGTTAAAAGATTTAGCAGCATTTTTGACTGTTAACCCTGAAATACTGGGGAGATATTAATATTAATATTGGGAAGAGAAAAAAAAACATATATATGTTCATTATTTACCTATGATTCAGATTTAGCTGAGCATCGCCTCTAGTGTCTTCTTTTTAGAGGCTTTCCCTGTTATCACCAGATCTAAAAAGCCTCCTTTGTCATAACTTCTAAGTCCTTTGTCATACACCTTTTCATGTACTTTTCTTCCYAGTACTTGTCAATCTCTGGAACTTTGTTCACTTTTTTGGCTTACAGTTTATTGCTACATTCTGTCCTATAATGGGAAGCTTACCTCCCAGCCAGCTTCTAACTCCCACACCAAACCACTGCCCCATGTTCATATAACAGGTATAGGATCTTTTCTTTTTTGGAATCGTCCCTCCAGCCTCCAAACAGTGCCTACCACAAAATAAGTGCTCCTAAAACACCTGCTGAATGAATGAATGCTGTGAATTCATGTTTTCTCAGGCATTCAGTAAAACTATTTCCTTCTAATCCCTTACTGAAACAATTTTAAAATTCTGGGATGAAAAATCAGTCAGATTTTATTTCTTAGGCAGACAGTCTGAATATTAACTATTTTCACGTGATTTATTTTATTACCAATATTGTACTATTTTAATAAGACAATTAAGAACTGGTCATCACTATTTGCTCATGACTAAAAATAACTCTATGAATATAAAAATATTAATAAAAATATGCTTAGAGAATAAAACTTTATACAGAAGTAAAATTAAGTAAATCAATTTTACCGTCTTAATAGAACTCCTTTGTTTTTCTTCCCAAACACCACTGCTCAACTCAAGTGTGCAATGAATATTTGCTTCTCTATCATAGGATCCAAAAATGAGTAATCTGCAGTACAAAATAAAACAGGAAGAGCATTATACCGATTCTATGCATTATTTTTTTTTATTTCTGGTCACTATAATAAGAAATACTTATTCCATTACTATTGTGGTTTATTTACAGGGGAAAAAAACAAGTCAAACCTAACATTTTGTATGCCCTCTAGTGGAAAAGCAAAGTAAAGCTAAAATTAGATGAGATCACAAGATATGCTCTTTTTCAGCAGCCAAGCCAAACAAGAAAATATTATCCACTCATAAGACACTGACCACATAGCCTTATGTAGTAAGCAAGAGTTAGAGATTTTTCAAGACTGTTGAATTAAGAATTTTAAAAGTTGCAAAGCAATACAGTACATCAGCTCCACAAGAATTAAATACACAGAAGTATAATACAATTGTTTATAAACAAACACACAACTTCATCTCCTAATGTGAACCTATGCAAATTATTTACTTCTCTAAATCCAGCTGCTCCTGCAGAAAATTTGGGGTTAAAAATAGTACTTACCTCTAAGAATTGTTCTGAAAGTACAAGACAATGTACAAAAGGCATTTAGCACAGTGTTTAGCAAACTCTAAGTGCTCAATGGATGTGTGTCATTTCTATTATCTTGAAAACAATTATCAATGAATGGCAACACCTAATTTCCCTGTTTACTAGGCTGTCCTAAAAAAGAACATCTGAGGTCCAATTATGAAATTATGTAAAAACTGTCTTTATTACTGAATTTAAAAAAAGAGATCCCTTATGTGTCCAACTTCTATTTTACCTATATCCTTAGAATCTTCCAATTTGTTTCAGAACAGTTTTAGCACTAACCAACATTTTGACTGTTACTCTACCACTTCATCTCTACATGAAGATTATAAATAGGAGTGAGATAATTAAGTAGATAAAATACATTAGAGAAATCTGAGAAAACTGTGTCCTGGGTTTGGCAAATCATGACATCATGTGCATACCTCACAAACTGGCCTTTTCACACACTGAAAAGTCTGAATAAACTTATGTAGAAAAATACCTGATTTAAATAATCCTTCAAGAATCTTACAAGGAGCCTAAAACTTAGCATTTAACAACCTATTACCAAAAAGAAGGCAGGCCAAAAGAACTCATAATTTTAAAATATTAACTTCTAACTACAATTTTCATTCACCAAACTCTGCTGCCATCATCTGTTTAAAGAGTAAACTACCTCAGAGCCTTTACTACCATACAGAGAAAAGAAGGTTGGGCACCACCTAGCGCTCCTAATAGAATTCTCAGAAATTCTCCCTGAATTCATAAGCTATTCCATATTTTCCATAGTGTTTTAAAAATGCTTTTAAAAATAATTACACAAAGCGTAACAAAAATTGACCACAGACCTAAAACAAAATTCTTAGAAGAAAACATAAAATCAAACCTTTTTGACCTTGAACTACGCAATGGTTTGCTAGATAAAACATCAAAAACATGATCGCCAAAAGGGAAAATAGATAACTTTGGCTTCATCACAATTAAAAAAAATTTTGTAAAGGGCACACCATGAAAATGAAAAGATAACCCACACATTGGGAGAAAATATTTGCAAATTATGTACTTGGTTAAGTCTCCAGTATCCAGAAAAAAAAATGAAAAACTCTTACAACTCAACAATAAAAAGTCAAATAATCCACTTTTAAAACAGGCAAAAGGATCTGAATAGGTGTTTCTACAAAGATGTACAAATGACCAGTAAAGCACATGAAAAGAAGCTCAATGTTATTAGGCATCAAGGTAATACAAATCAAAACTACTTGAAATGCACTAGAATAGCCATAGTGAAAAAGGTAGAAAGTACTGGTAAGGATATAGAAAAACTGGAATCCTCATACATACTGGTGGGAATGTAAAACAGTGCCGTCACTTTGGAAAACAGTTTGGCAATTGCTTAAAAAATTAACATATGAGGGGCTGGGGTTGTGGCTCAGAGGTAGAGCGCTTGCCTAGCATGCGTGAGGCAGTGGGTTCGATCCTCAGCACACATAAAAATAAAATTAAAATATTGTGTCCACTTATAACTAAAGAAAAAATATATTTAAAAAGTTAACATATGATATGATTCAGCAATTTCACTTCTAGCTATACAGCTGAAAGAAAAGCTTAAAATATTTATATTAACATCAAAATATGCATATGAATGTTCAAAGGAGCATAATTCATAACAGCCTCAAAGTGTTAACAACCAAAATGTCTAACAAGTGATAAATAGGTTAAATAAAATGTGGTATATTCATAAAATGAAATATTTTTTGAAGCAAAATGAAGTACTAGAATATGCCATAATATGAATAGAAAATGCTAAGTGAAAAGAGGGTCACAAAAGAACACATACACGGAATATGAAAATTTATAGACAGAAAGTAGATAAGTATGTATAACAAATTATAAGAAGCCATTGTTTGTTTATTTTTTCATTATTTATCATTTATTACTTATTTTAGTTTATTTTGGGTACTGAGGATTGAACCCAGAGGTGCTTCACGACTGAGCTACAACCTACTTTCACCCACTCCCAGTTTTTCATGTTTTTGATACAGGCTCTCACTCAGTTGCTTAGGACCTCACTAAGTAGCTAAGGCTGGCTTTGAACTTGTGATCCTCCTGCCTCACTCAATATCCTAAATTGCTAGGATTATAAGCATGTGCCCCTACTCCTGGCAAGAGGCCCTGAATGAACAGACCAAGCTAAATGGAGTTATTCAAAATTAAGTATCACATAATCAAACTGAAACTTTAATGAAGCAGATAGATCCCCAAACACACCAGTTTTTCCTAAAAGCAATACATTTCAGTATATCTGAATCAGTATAATAAGGAAGTTCCCTTAGCTTAACTTTGACAAAAAAGCAATCTGAAGTAACCTGATGTTAATCAACCTTTTTTCCCTTCTATTGCTGTTTCCTTGTTCCCATTTCATTCTTAACAATGAAAACCCACTGTTTTACTACTGCCCACTGGGAACTATAAGGGGTTTTGTAGAAGGGATGTCACCTGCTATTTTGTTGAATAGTTGCTGCCTTGATTCATGAACTGCAAATAAAATCCAATTGGATCTATAACTAAATTTGTTATCACTTTGTTGTCCGACAAACTTCCCAATGTAGAATTAGGAAAAACTAGAGGAGAATGGGATAGTCTGCTAATGAGTATGGGATTTCTTTGAGAGGAATGAAAATGACCTAAAATTAGATTATGATGATGGTTGCATAACCCTGTTACAAATACAGTAAAAATCAGTAAATTGTACACTTTAAATGGTAGAACTGTATGGTAGACGAACTTTATCTCAATAATGCAATTCAAAGAAAACAAATAATGAGTGATTATAATAATGAATAATCATTTTTCTGTGATAGGGTCATAATAAGTTTCAAAGATGTTAAAGGATAATAAATGCTTGGTTTACTATTATTATGAATCAATAATAATATTACAACAAGATTATATATCTAAAAAAAACATAAACATGATCTTTACCTGATACAGAAATTTGATAATACAACATATTAAAAGGAATCTTAGGACAAAATAAATTCTCAATAGAAATCATTAAAAATATTAAAAAGATAATTACACAAATATTTGAAACTTATCATTATTTGTTTTTTCTTTTTTGCTGTACTGGGGATCGAAACCAGGGCCTCACATATAGTAGGTTAAGTGTTTTACCACTGAGCTACATTCCCCAGCCCACAATTTATTATTCTTAACAATGGATGTTTAAAGCACACAAAACATTATTCATTCTATTCAAAAGTCTTTATTTATTTATTTATTTTATTGACAAATATCCCAGCAAATGGACTCTTTCGCTATTACTGACTACTCCAATCGTATGAGTACGGGTTGAATATCTCTTATCTAGAATGCTTGGGACCAGTAGTGTTTCAGGTTTTCCTGATTTTGGAACATCTGCATATACCTTTGAAATGCTTAGGGAATGGAACCCAAGACTAAACATGAATTTCATTTATGTTTTATATACACATTATACATATAACCTGAAGGTAATTTTATACATCATTTTTAGTGTTCCTGAGTTTTGACTGCAACCTGTCAATGAAGTCAGATGTAAAATTTCCCACTTGTGGGTACATACTGGTGCTCAAAAATTTTTGGATTTTGCTGCATTTTGGATTTCAGATTTGAGATGCTCAGCCTGTATTTTCATTGTTTCAGTTAAGTTTATTTTGATGTTTAATGATGAAAATATTTTGTCTGGTTGTTTAGAATTTAGTTTTGCTTTTGTAATGTATATTGATTTAACTAATTGATTTGAAATCAGCTTTTGATTCTAGTCAAAGCATTACACAACATCTTCACATACATCACATCTTCTTTTTACATTTCTTCTGTTAAAGCACTCAGAAGGAACTGCAGCCTTTAGTAAATGTTCAAATACTAGAAAATACCAGCAAACAGTATTAATACTCAATAAAGAAAGTAACATCAGTGCTTCCTAGATAAGTTAACTTCCCTATTGCTGTGGTCTGTATGTTCCCCACAAAACTCATGTTGAATTCTAAATCTCCACTATGAGGTATTATTAAGGGAGTAGAAACTTAGTCCAACAATAATATTTGAAGGTAGAAATACTGGGAGATAATTAAAGTTAAATGAGGCCAAAAGAGTAGGACCCTGATTAGACGGGGCTCTGGCTTCCTAAAAGGAGAAGAAACTTGAGCTAGACACTCAGTCTTGCTTACTAAGAGATCAATTTTTAGCAACACTGTTTTCGGTCATAAGGCCTGCATCAGAAGTCAAGCAGATGCTAGTGCCATGTTCTTGGACCTCCAGAACTGTGAACAAAATAAACCTCCCACTTCCCAGCCTCAGATATTCTATTATAGCAAAAGCAAACGTACTAAGACAATTTCACAGAAGCACTTGTCAAAATTGCCAATCTAATAATCTACTCCAAAATTTATCTCTTAAAAAAGTACTATTTCTTAGAATTTTAATAAAGTATAATGTTYATG